AAGATCAAATGATAAAAAAGGCAGACAAAATTTAATTTTATAGTAAGAAGAATCAGGAAAATTATGCGTTTCCACTAAAATTTTGTGAGAGAACAGGAAACTTTATAATAATTAAATATTATTGTAATATTTAAAAATCTTTAAGCATGCTGTTATATAATATATATATCGTGTTAGATACTTAGGAAAAAAGTTACCTTAATGTATTGTTTTGTGTGTGATATATATTTCTACTTCATGTAATAGGAGCTATTATATGAATTAATCTTTTTACACAACATTCATGAAAATAATTTAATCCAAATGTGCAGTGTGACTTCACTCTAAAAAAGTCAAAACTAGTTTTTCTCCATTTTGTAAAGTCATTCTTCACAAAAATTTTACAGCCTTTTTATTTGCAGCTTCTCTCCAAGATAAAATGGCAAATACCAAAGAGAAAACTCCAATGTGTCTGGTAAATGAGTTAGCCCGTTTCAATAAAGTCCAACCTCAGTATAAACTTCTGAATGAAAGAGGGCCTGCTCATTCGAAGGTAAGGTTTTGAAGAGAGGTGGTGAGACATACTTATCAAACTCTATCAGCTTTATAATTTCAGGTTTTAATTGTGCTTTATTTTTGGGAATGAAGGGGACCAGTGGATGGCCTGAAGGCTTTTAGTTCTGTAGTAATAGTATTATGAAGTCTAATGTTAAACAATTTTATAGCTTATTATGGTTTACAAAACTCTTTCAGATACTGTACTTCACAAAACCTTAACCACATGAGATACGGGTTTTTAATTTCCATTCTATAAATTAAGAAACTCAGACACAGAAAAGTTAAGAGACTTACCTCTGGTCACATATTTCCTAAGCCAGGGGCAGCACCTGAGTATGTGTTCTTTGACTCCCAAGTACAGTGCTCTTTCCACTAAATCACAGCTGCTAAAGTAAAAATGGCGACAGAGTAAATATAGCTATCATTATGTAGTGAGACATTCTTTTCCCATGTGATGTTAAATTCCAAGATGCATTATTTATGAAAGTTGACTATATCATTATTATTAACCGTACATTCACATATAATATTGTTCTTTTTAATGGAAAAGCAATTCATATTCATATATAGCCATACACATATATTACATATGTACATGTTACAAGGAAGTCTACAACTAGTACATTGTACAGTTCTATTCATTTGCTTGAAAAATCTCAGTTGTGCTAATTTTCTTTGGCAAATTTTTAGTCTTGGAAGTTGGAGGTTACAATAATGATCGTAAATTTCTGTAGATAGATCTATGGAAGTAATTGATTATCTGTTGTTATTGTTGTTAGATGCTGTCGAGTTGGTTCCAAACCATAGTGGCCTTTGATATAACAGAACGAGACGTTGCAGAACGAGACGTTGCCTGGTCCTGTGCCATCCTCACAATTGTTGCTATTTGATTCTCTGAGGGTTGGTTAATCCAGATTAATCCTTCTTCATAAAGCAGTTGCTTTTGGGTTATATTATTGTTTATTGACACCTCCCTCCAAGTAAGAAAAAGAAGATGAACCTAAAATCAGTCATTTTTGTTTCTTATTAGAAGCTTTTATGAAGAATTTATGGGCAGCACTTTCATTTATTGATGATATCGCTTGTTCTTGCATCAACGGAGAAAATGGTGCGGCCACTGTCTACCTGTCCAGCCGTTGATTCTGACTCGTTCATACCTGCTCTTGCCCTTAATCATTTTGAACTGTTTGCATTTCTCCACGTTTCATGTTCTTTTCACGTCTCTGCCTTTGCCCGTGTGGTAGTGTTCTCTCTGCCTTGAAGGTTTTTTGTTCTTACTCATTTTTAAACACTCAGCTCA